GCCCCCGCAGTCGAAAATAATTTTTTTAACGAAACCTCAATCAAGAAATTGATATTCCTGATTTTCGTCTTATTTTGGCCTTTGGAATCTCCCACTAAAGTTTTTTCCAGGGGTGGAACACTCTGTATATAAATATAGATTGAAATTAGGGAAAATTAATTTAATAGAATAGAATTGGGTTCGCATTAAATAGCGAGGAAACGACATCGAAAGGAGTGAAATAAAACGGAAGGAAAGCGAACGGGCGCGAAGGGCTAGCCAATTCCCAACGAGGAAGCTGCTTCGAGGACACACCCGGTGTATCGGAAGGGATGTCGGTGTGGGGGGGTTGAAAGGGCCAGGAACAGAGTATCGAGATCGCGTGGCCCATGTAAATGCACGGCCGCCTTCTCTGCGTATATTATTTTATTATATACCAGAAGCTATTGGAACCACGTGACGCCAGCGGGTTGCCTCGGCCGAAACGCAATCATTCTTGAGTTATTCGAAAAGGCTGACGGCTGCGACGGAATTTCCGGACCCACCTATACGAACAAGACGTTTACGTGCCGCACTTGCATCCCTGACAAACTTCCTTTTGATCGAACCTAGCCACCGGTGTTACAGCCGGATCGTACGCGAATCCGATGCCAACGCGTCTCCGTTCGATGGAGTTTCCACTTTTATAGCCCCGAGATTTCTCTACCTTGGAAATCTGCATATTCTGGTTTCCATTTCCAAACCTCTCTCGCGATTCTTCTTTTTTCGCCTCCAGATTTTCGTTATTTACCGTTTTCACGCCAGCTCCGTTCAATTTATTACGTTTCTCCAGGTTAGTTCTATCCTAATTCATAGATGTAACCATCTCTGTACTCTTTGTCTGAAAATAATAGCGACATTTCGATTCGAATCATATGCATTTCAAGATCTATATAAATAATGGTGCAAGGTGCCAAAGCAACGTTTCCAAATACGTCCTCGTTTTCCCGTGTCCAGGCTATAAACCCCTTAAGTCATAACACGCACGGAAATAATTCTTCCGCATCGACTTTTCACATTTTTAGACTTCTCAATTTTCCGAACGTTTTTGGCACTTCGTGATACGTATATATCGGGCGATCGAGCTGCCAGAGTTTGAAACGGACATAGATAATTCTTAGACGTCGGTTTCCTGGGTTGGTCTCGATGGTCCAGATCGTTTTTACGGCATGGAACGCGTTAAGATGTCGGAATCTTGTAAAAAATGAAGGAGGAACGAAAGGTGTACGTGGTGCATTAAAATGACGGGTTCGTAGTGGGTGTTAGGTCTCTGGTTGTAGCAGAGGTCGTCGATATAGCCGGTCTCCTCGGCGATACACGGTTCGATTAGACGGAGCCGATGAAATTTTTCCGGCCGAGCAGATCCTCTCGCGTCAAAGAGTGGCCTGGCCGGCTTTTCAGGCCGCGGCGCACAAAGTGTCACCCGGATTATTTTCCGAAAAAGCTCGCGGCCACCGACACCGCGCGTCAGAGATATTCCGCACGTTAGGAGCTCGTTAATGCTTTATCGCGCGGTTGCGCCCGACTGGATTTGGCCCACTTTGCCCGTTTCTGGAATCCTTCGATCGATCCGTGACATCCGGCTCCTGCTTCGCATCCATTTCGAGTTCTGCTCACCAACGGATACACACCGATCTCTGACAACACGACCGTTCTTCCGGTTGACAATTTTAATACCTCCACCGGCCTCCCTGTCCGTGACTTGTCCGGGAATATCGTCACTGTCGACAGTCTGTTATTCTCCTAACTCGACCAAGAATAGATTTTTATTAACCAGAGACACGGAGAATCGGACCAAACTCTACCGTTTCTCGACCACGAAAATTCGATAGCTTCACGAAATTAATTCCACCAGGCTCGAGTGACATTTTACGCGCTGCTCGTCGAAACGAAACAGGGACTCTAACCCTAAACCCCCCGGACCTCGTTCGGTTCTCAGTTTCCTAGAGTAACCCGCGTAACCGAGTTAACCGATTAGCTCGGTTAACCTGCTCTTACAGCGGTTCTCAGAGTTTGGCCAAATTTTATAAATAATAATAAATATATATAGGAATTTTCGATCGATTCGTAAACCAACAATCTATGTTCCTCGTCCATCCAAGAAAGATCACCGTGGGATGAGCTAATGGTTCGGCCATCAGCGAGAAATATCTAGAATCGGTATGTACGAAACAACCGAGCGTTTCGTGGCCAGTTTGGTCGGTAAAGCGAGAAGAAGTAACATCAAAAACCGAATGGCAGGGAGAAAAAGTGAAACGACGAGGACGGTCCGTGTCCATAAGTCGATTGTCGCGGCGATCAGACCTTTCCCGTTCGAAAGCTCCACGGGTAATAATGAACGCGTCAATTTTCCGTCTCTGCCGGCTGTCCACCACCCACAGCGTCCCTTTGCAACCCCTTTTGCAATGGCATCCGTGGCTGGCTCTCGATGTCCTTGTTCGCCGGTGCCATTTTTTTCGCGAGCCTCCTTTCATTCGTTATCGGTCGCTTGCTAATGGCGCGCGATTGCCTTTACCACCCCCTCGCCTCTCAGCCCCCCCCCCCCCTGGTCTCCGGGTGTCTTCGTCCCTTGCACGCTTTGGCATTCCATTTTCATGGCGGCCAACGGAAAACCCTCGAATAGAAAATTTTAATTGAGAACTATTTCACCAAGGATTTCTCGTCGGTGGGCTGAATTTTAAGATCGCCCGGAGGGCGATCATCCGCCGCGCGGACGTTAATGGAAAATCGTGACTCGCGATGGGAGAATCGGGATCGACTGGATTTAAAACCTCGGGACGTTCCGCGATCGATCCTCGCAGGGAAACTTGTTATCGACAGACGTGGAAATTACAGAAATTAACACTGGTGATCGTCGGGCTGGTCTCTAGCCGAATTAATATTATTTCCAAAAGTATAAAGAGTAACGAATGAATTTTCTGCCCCCAAAATAATAAATATTGCCCACCTGTCGTTGAGAATATATTATATTTAGAAATATTAATCCTTTCAGTTTATCCTTTCAGTGGTTTCAAACGACGATAGCTAGTAGGCCATAATATCGTTGACCAGGGTTTCATCGAGCTTTCACACATTGGTCATACTATAGGGCACTGCAATCCTTGTCTGTCTAACGTGTAAACTCTTATTATTTAGGATCGTTTGCTCTGCTCGATCACCAGAAAGTCTTAGGTAGCGGTATAGCGAACCCCTTTCTCATCCTTGCCTCAGTTATACTTGTCAGGTCTGATCTAAAGGATCGAGCGGTCGGTGTACCTAAATCGGTTCCCGCTATAGTCTGTTTCTATCTTTCCTCACGGTCTGCAGTCAACGTCCATATCGCGAGTTTCTTTATTCGCAATCGTTGCCGATAGGAATTCGATGAACTATAATGACATCGTCTCGAAACTTGCGTGTTCTTGACACAACGTTATACATATTTTAGAGTGTTTACGCGGCTCGAACCTCGTGCTTTTGATCGCTACTATCGGGGGGTCGATGTTGCTTCAAGGTCGTGTCTTTATCGGTCATCGAATTTCGCGTTGTGCCAGATACGAGAATGAGTTCCAAGAGTCGCGGGAAACGTAGCAGATTTCATCGAACCGAGAAAAAGGAAAAACGACAGTATTTTGAAAAGTGTAGTGATTATATTTTTGAAAGAAACACCAGAATACCTGTACGTACCATTCCGCGAGTAATCGTCGAAAAGTTTAAACGATTTCCAAGTTCGAGGGAGAGATCGACGCTGCACAAAGGGACAATCGACGAGTTATTTAATTTAATATCGTTCGATCGGAGTTGAAGCCTGGCGAAACGATGGACGCGCCGCAAATGTTATCTTTTTCCCTCCTTTTTGGAATCCTCTCGTCCGCAATTATGCGCCATTTATGTCGCCAGCGTCGGAAGGGTACCCACCACAGTGATTACGTTGCAATTTCGAGTCAACGTCGCGATCGGCTCGATCGTTATTATTTCAAAGAGCCGCGAATCGGTCGGTCACTTTGTAGGGAGGAAAAAAATAAATTCGTGGAAAATGGACGCGGTCCATTTGTAATTTTATATCTTTTTTTTTTTAATGGATGCGAAGTACCCGTCTGGGAATTTTTATTTCAACCGGGGGAAAATCGCAAATAGGAATCGATAGATATTTTTTCATTTTCACGAGCGACAGACAGTAGAGAATTTGGTAATTGTTCTGATTGGGAGATCGGAAACGCGAGATGCTCCCAATTGGAAAATTGAGAGTGTGAGAATTGTTCGGTAAGAAAATCGGTGGCTTGGGGAGATTTTGGAACGATAGTATCGAGAAATTCGAAATTCTTTGACGAAAAACCGAAATATTAGTAATGGAGCGTGTAATTTTCCGAGCCTCGCGGACTCGGTTTGGAGACCGCGTCGGTGGAGAGTTTTTCGTGGAAAAATTACCTCTCGCGTTCGTTGGAAGCGTTCCAATAACAAAGAGAAAAACGAGGGGGAAAACGTATACTCGACAAAACATAATACCACTCAGATCCGAAACAAGGCATACATCACTCACTCGAGACACCAACGAAAACACACCCGAAACCACTCTCGCTTCTCCAAGGAAATGCATCTCTTGACACTCTTGCATCGTCACACGTCCGCCCCTCGCCCCTGCCCTCTTTTGGTACCCTTTAGTGACATGTTTATCAGCAGTAGTATTATATCAGTTTTTGAGATATTCGTGGTATGCAACCGAATCCCCTTTTTTTAATCCAGTGACTTGTGTACATGTTACTTATGCCCTTGAACATATATATATATTTCTCAATGTGTATCTGTAAGTCGAGATCACTTTTTTGTTTTCTTTTGTTCGAGAACGTACGGACAGAGTTGCGTACATGTGTTCGCGGAACAAAAAAAAACGAAAAAGCATACGTAAGAAACCAGAAAGAAAAGATTCTGCTAAACGACCCTGAAAACGGTCGTTCGATCGAACGGGTTCACCATTGATTCACATTTGTCTTTTTTTCTGCTTTCAGCTGCACAGATTCCACAACGCGGAAGTAAGTACGATTAAATTACCTTGAAAACCGTTTCCCTTTCGTTTCTTCGCCGGCGTCTTGATCGAAACTATCGGGCACGGGTCGCGCGGACCAGTCTAAACAACCATTTTTCGTTTTTCGTTTCGCGTTTCAAATTGTTTAAAATCGAACGGATCGAGATTTTTCGCTAGCTTCGATGCCAAAGTAGTCGAGGAGGCTTCGAATTTACGAATAACATTTTTTCGCGTTCTCTCTTTGACGGGCAAAGTAGTTAAGTATTCTTTCCGTCGGTCCTCACCGGCAATCGACTAAAGAATGGCTTGAATTTTAGCATGCAAGAGGAAAGACGAGATGGCGAGCCAGGCAGAACACCAACAGCCCGCCCCCAAGAAACCGCGCCTGGTTTTCACAGACCTTCAGCGCCGTACTCTACAGGCTATTTTTAAAGTAAGTCTTGTATAACTTAACTCGCGTTTTGATCGATAACGGCTCCTCCGCGTTCCGTCTCGATTGTCCTGGAAAAGGGGTGCAAGGGGGGACGCTGGAAATTTACGAATGGGAAGTATTTTGCTTCGAACATGCGTCCGCCAAAAGATTAAAAGATTTTCGAGTAAACGATAAACGAAATTTCGTGGCAGAACTCCGCGTTGAAATCCGCGAAAAATGGAAATTTTACGAGCGTGTATTAGTCCGTGATGACCACCGTAAACCATCCGCCATTCGAAGGTTAATGAAAGACAGGATCCTATTCCCGCAGCATCGGTGAATGTAACATTGAAAGGATCAACCGATAAAATTTCCCCAATTCCTGGCGGGCATCGACGGGCAATAGGCATCGTTAAAAGTGGAAAAAGCTTTTGGGGAAGGGCGGTGGGAGTATAGAGGGGTGGTTTGGATTTTTGTTCCGTTGGTACGTCGACAGGAACGCTAATGAGGAAACGGACAATATCGATGGGCATTCTCGAAAGTGCTCGCGATCGTAGTCGCAATCGAAGCGCGGGGAGCGCGCGGCGAAGGAATCGGCCGCGAAATTATTCAAGACGGATCGATAGTCGCCGGTTGACGCGCGAGGGGGGTCAACTCAACCCTCAACCCTCAACCCTCAACCCTCAATCCTCAATCCCACCCCCCGCCGCCTGCCATCCGCTCGATCTGCGCGTTTTTCTTCACGTGCACGCGAAAAATCACGGACGTGACACGCGACCCGTCTGATTGCTTTCCCCCATACCACCCCCCACCCCACCCCCCTTCTTTGTATCGATGCACGCGCGTCTCGATGATTTCGACGAGCTTCGACCAAGTAAATCGGAAGTTGAAAATTCCCGATCGCTACTCCGTGTTCGAGTTTCTTCAGAACAGAGTAGGAGTACTTATTTTTTTTTTTTTGGAGCCCAAGAGCCCCGTGTTCGATGTTTGAGCTTCTTTAGGCAAAAACTGCGCATAACAAACGAAACGTACTTATTATAAATGTTTTTAGCCCCTGCTCTAGATACGTTTTCATTTTCACGAAATTTAACTTAGAGACAGTGTCCTTATTAATAGAATCTAACTTCTAGCTCCTTTCGATGGATAAAATAACGTTAGATCGCATCGAAGCCTAGTTTTTTTGTTCAACCGCCTATACTTAAGGTAGTTTCAGAGTCGAACGATTGTTTTTATCTACCGTTGACTTTATTGGGCGATTAGCTTTCTCTTTCCACGACGATTGAAATTGCAATAGGAAGGTTCTTCGGTAACCGTTGAACGTCGAGGCACCATACGTCGGGTAATGTCGTTGGGAACTATGCCAAATAGTTCGCAAATCGGCGTCCGTAACTGCGACGAACCTGTCATTAAAGAAGGCATTAAAAGACAACGAAAGAACTCAGGAATGACGGCGTGGAATTTACGTCCACGGTCGCTCACTCGATACCTCCTCGCGAACCGTCGATATCGCGGCCATTCGATTCCCCGGCGTAAAATTCTACAATCGTCGAAACCTGCTTGGCAACAAACGATTGTTTACATTCCTATTATTGCAACCGACATTCGTTTCCTTGCGTTATGCATTTGCGTGGTTCATAGCCACGTCAAATAAAAAAGGCAACGAAAATAAGAAAGGCAAACACGAACAAGCGCATAGAACGCAATAAATTTTTTTCAAGATTCGGCAATTCTTGAGGGAGGGGTCCGCCACTGCATACAAAGCGAAGAAATAATTTTATTCTACGTGTGTTTTTCAACGTCGCGTTGATCATTGCACCGGAAGCACGAGGGAAATCAGATTCATCGAAGCAGATTGAATGCACCGGAGTCCTGGCAGGAGCCGGCCGATCGACTCCTCCGATTCGATTTCAGGATAAATATGGAAATAATGTGAACGTTCCCGAGGCGAAGGGAAGATCTAGTCGAAGCGTATTCGCTGGCTCTTTGGAACTATGCCAAATAGTTCGCGAATTGACCTTAGCCCAGTTAACGCCGTCGCTCGATCTTTCTCGCGTTCCGCTTCTATTTTTCGCTCGATTGTTCCAACCTCCAACTTCCTCCGACACTTTTCGCTTCCCGTATGCTCGCGAAGATAGACAAAAATCTTTGACGCCGATCGGTGAACGCGTTTAGAAAACTTACGCGAAAAAAAAGAAATTCAATTAAGTCGCTGGAACGAGGTATTTAATTGCTCCAAGTGCAAGTAAATACCTGAAGCGGTACAAGTTGAAAACCGTTTCGATTCAAAACAGAATTCAAGTTCGTTCGTTCGACGATGCCAAACTAGACGTAATTAATTTCCTCGTTGATTAGTGTTTTGCTATCGATGCTGTTTAAGTTTTCAACCGTCGAATTCGTGGGATATTTCCAAGCTTTCCTTTCGAATCGCATAGAATTTTTATCGCGAAACGAAATGGTTTCAATTGGAAAAATTAAGTGCAGAGGGTTCAGTGGAGTCTCGGAATTCAGTGTCATCTAATTCACAAGGAGCGTGCACCGGGGTGACGTTTAAGAAACCGCAGCCGTGTATCGATATCCTGTCTGAATGTAATTCACCGCGTGTAACGCAACGAAACGAAGGTTGCCGCCTCTGTCTACGGGATACCAGTTCAATATACAGAGAAGCGTATCAATTGCTGGAAATACAGGACACTATCGGCACGAGGATCGTGATTATTCCTTGACAGCCACTGTGCACCGTGTCTGAGCGGAGGAAGAGGAGGGAACGGAGGAGCGGCGGTTGCATATGTGTCATGGGGCGAACGGTGCATGGAGAACTTGAAAAACGAGGAAAAACCACGTGTTTCGCGTAAACGATCCAACTTTCGAAATGTACAACTATTTTCCAAATCGTTACACTCCTTCGAACATTCTCGAATCTCCGTTTAATTACGAGTTTTCCTCAACTTTTAACGTCGTTCGAGTTTCATTCGATTTCGTGGATCTCTACGATCTTGTTAAACTCTATTTGGATAGAAGATTCGAGACTGGTTCGAGCGTCAAGGTTAAGGATGACTCGAGGTTGCAGAATAATTTGGTAGAAAGATTTGTCGTAACGTGGTGACGGTCAGGAGGCTAAACGGTCACGGTTTGCGCGTCGCGCGTTAATTATTGCGTTCTGTCACGCGCGCTGGAGCATTGATTTGTAATAATTGTTGCTTCGACCAATCGATACTCTCTCTCTCCACCTCGTCCGTTATTGATCGACCTACGTCGAGTAAGAAACGTCGCGTGGGAAGAAAGCGTGCCAGCCCGTTTACCACATCGAGAGAAATGTTTACCGTTCCGACGGTAGGTCGACGATTTTTATCGTTCTTGTTTCACGATCCGAACCAACGAATACCAGAAAACTTTTACGCTATTTTCAGATGCAAAATTCCGTGGCAACTCGCTTTTCTCTAATAAAGATTTCAAAATTACCACGAGTATCGTCGATCGTTTGAAATTGCTCAAAATAGTAGCGTCGATGGAGTGGAACTTTGGGTGGGAAATCCTTAAGCAAATATGGCGTCTGTAGGTTACGGGTGGCTGCGAGAGTTATTCCAATCCACTGTAATCTGGCGCTTAAAGACGAGCCCCAGCTGTTAAAAGACACGGTTTAGTCATGCAAAGCGCGTGGAAACTAATTATAATAGAAAATCGGTGGTCGATCGATGGTACTGATGTTTGTTGTCGCGTTGCAGGAGACCAAAAGGCCATCGAAAGAGATGCAGGTGACAATCGCCAGGCAGCTGGGCCTGGAACCGACGACGGTCGGCAACTTCTTCATGAACGCTCGACGCCGGTCCATGGACAAGTGGAAGGACGAGGACCCGAAGACCGTCGCGGTCGATGAGGGACAGCTATCACCCACAATAGGTATCGGGCAACGGCAGCCAAGCGACGTTTTGTGACACACGTCCGACCACGAGGAGTACCACGACGAGTCACCCGAAGAAGACTTGCCCTTCTCGTAAGGGCGGTGCGTTTCACGCGACGCGACGCGTTGCTGCGATTTCGAGCGAGGGGATATCTCCAACTGGCCTGGAACGTCAGTTTTTTCACCCGTTAAACGATGATCTTCGCGATCGGTGGTCGGTGATCGGTGATCGGGGGATTTGTTTCGATTACGTTGCGGGGACCATGGGTTCGGAACGAAGCGTTTTTCGACACTCCGGGTGCTCTACGCAAGGATCGACGAGACATTTCGCACTTTGCGGTGCAAAGTTCTCGCGGGGCGTTCGTATCAGAACGCGGACGTCTTTGGGAATGTCTCGAAAAGCCTTACAAATTAGCGAGAAAGATATTTGCCGAGGGAAGATAGTTGTATAGTCGAGCGTGTAGCCGTTGTCAGGAACAAAGTCCTTCGTTCGCTCGTAACACAACGTCGTTGTCGTTGTCGTTGGATATTTTCCCCTCTCTTTGCAGAAAATTTGAATAATTCGCAAGAACCGAAGAGGGGCGAAAATATCGACGATACCGACGGTTGGTTATCATTTACAATCGAATACACGAGTCAACGAAGGATCCGTTGGAGACAAACGCGTTAACTACGTTCTTTCCTTTCGAGTCATGACACGCGAACGTTTCAACGAGTTGCACTTACAGCTAGAGAAATTTTAAGGCATTATACAGAGTACTGCGTCGTTCGTGTGCAAATGATACCTAAATTTCCAGTTTTAGGACAATTAGTAAATAGCATAAAGTTATTTTATATCTATCGTCGTACGCGATACTATTATCTTAAAGGGACACGAAGCACGGTAGTATAGAAAATACAGGGTGGTTCGACGAACGTAATTTCCTAATCTTTTTCAAAGTGCGGAGTATATTTTTCCATCGTTGCCGTGATAAGAAAATCCTATTTATTTCGACTAATATACGGACAGCACAAAAATATTCACCATTGCCTGTCTCGATGAGTTTCGACTCTAACTTTTTCTACGGGAACAAGTAGCTCTGATTTCGTCCAATTAACAGGCGGTAGACTTCGTTCGACCGTTCGAATATCGTACGCGAAGCACCAAGCATCCCCGATGCTTTCAAGATTCGATTCGGGTGCTTGGAGAATTCACGACGGCTGAATTTCGTAGCGGTTCAATCGAAAGCGAAACGAATTTCAAGGCAGAACCGGACGTTGTTCAAACTATCACACAACGACGTAATTATCTTATAACCGCGGTCGTAACGTCGTCTGAAAAGCACAGTCACTGTGATCATTTTTTAACGACGACCGTCCGTAACGCGCGTGGCAGCCTTGTTCGTGAATATTACAGTCAAGCCCTACCCCTCTACGGCCACGTCCATTTTGTTCAACCTACTGACAAACTATTTCCTTTCCCAACTATTCGATTCTACCGTAAAAGGAACAAGTTCCGGTTCTGTCGTCGCTGACGGTTTTTTCCCCCCACCGAGAGACTGTTGTTTCGTGGAAAAATTTGGATTCGAAAACGTAGAAATACTTAGAACGACGGTAAATTCGATCGATAGATTGGTGATCGTGCAATAATAAACTAACATGACGTTCCAGAGATCGAAATCGAGCATCGTCTAGCCGCGTCGATAGAAACCGTGCCAGCCGGCGACTTTTCACCGCTATAATTCCCTCCTCCCCCCCTCCCCCTCTAGCCATCGAGCTCGAACGGCCCTCGAATCGAGAATCACCGAATCAGCGAATCGTTCGAAACGTCGAATCGAGCCTCTTCGGAAACTTGGTGCCATAATTTGCCATACTAGATTCATCCCCTTGATTTAAAACACTTTCTAGTCTATGCGCGTCAAAGGTGCTTCTCCGACGGACGGCATTTTTTATCTAGTCAAAATTGCGAAAGACGCGCCCCCGTAAGCTTCATCGACGAGGAAAGGTTCGACCCAAACGTATAGCAATATTTTAAACGGTAATCGTACGAGGGGAAACCGTTGCCGCGTTTTCTCGCGCGTTGAACCCTTTGCGATTGCCCGTGTTCCCGCAGCGAGCGGCCAGAATTTATTTAACGAAAAGATACACTCGACGTCGAGCGTCGGGGTACTTTTTAATACTGTAATAAATATTTTAGACAATGGACCGTTTCAGCGTCGCGTGGACAACTCTCGTGCCATGTTTTATTTAAGATAAAAAAGAAGAAGGGATATCGAAAAGTGGCTCGTCGATCGCAAAGGGTTTCGGGGCTGCACGAATTTCGAAAATTTGTGTAACTTTTTTTTTTGGGAAAAAAAGAGTACCTTTCCTAGAAAATGAGGAAGCTTGTCCAACAACGATCGACGTCGTCGCTTTGAAAGATCGATAGACAATACGTCCCGAATTTCAATTCCCATACCTTCAGAAACGCACGCATACCTTGGAAAAGAAACAACGACGAGCTAAAAATTTTCCCTGACGATAATTCTGGAATGATCGCTGGTAAAAAAGTAGACTGTGAGTTTAAAGCGACGACGCCTCGATCGACGAATAAAAGCACTGCGCGAAAATTGATGAAACAGAGAGGGCGAGAGATCGAGGGGGGAGGAGATGCTGGTCCGTAAACTCGTCGGCGAAAGAGGGTGCAGCGTTCAGGACTCGTCGTGTCCTCGTTGGTCGCTAAAAAGGGACAACCGAATGAACCCGTTAAAACTGAACAAGAACGCAAACAAGAACAGCTTCGTTTCTTAACAAAACACAGTTACACTCACACTCACGCGCGTACGCGCGCGCGTACACTCTCTCACACACACACCCACACACACACAGTCACACGCGTACACATGTACACACACGCGAATGAAAAATAAAGAGACAGACAGACAGACACGCAAACAAACAAAAAAGTGGCATCGTGTCGAGGGTGCACGTGCCAAGTGATATATTCTATGTATGTAATGAACATTGTATATCAGAGTGGACGCTGTTTTGTGCGAATCGACGGAGAAGAGACGGACACGGGACGTGCGGAGGGTGATCGTCCGCGAGAATTAGTGGTTTCAGTGTTCACCGACATGCGAGGAGAGAACAGATTGCGTGCTTGGGAGAGAGAGAAAGGGAGAATGAGTGATCGAGCGAGTGAAAGACTTTGCGAACCGCACTCGATACCGTACCGCAATTGTGCTGTGCTATTGTACATATTAAAGAACGAGAGAGGCGAGACACGCGAGAGACACACACACACAGAGACATTCGATCGCGTGGAAGTGCGGCGATCGAACAGACTGAACGAGAGAAGAACGACCGATTTTCAGTCGAACGGGGAGGTGGCTTCTTTTCGCGTTTCCCGCTTGCACGCGAGCCGTTCCTCCTTTGGAAAAATTATTCGTTTCTTTTTTGCGTTCGATGGTGAAATTAATTTTTAAGCGAACACGCCGATCCACCGGGCCCTCCCCCGCGCGACGTCCTCCCTTCACTTTCAAACTGATTTTTAGTTTTCTCAGAGACGAAACCGATTCGAGAAACATGGACAAATTCGTGTTGCGCTTTTCTTAAACGTCTTTACTATTTTTGACCGTGAACTTGGTGTTGTTTCTCAACGCGAATCGTATGAACTCGAAGGGGACGAGTCGTTCGCGGGAGGATTCGATGCGAGATGCGTTTAAATAAGAATCTTCTGTACTAGTCGATACTGTATTTCTACGTTAAAGCGTCCAAATAGCAAAGTGAAAAACGCCCGGTCGATGTTTCGCTCTAAACCGATACTTTAAGCTTCGTCGAGCCCGCGGAGGCTCGAATTCTGCGTTATCGTTTTTTTTTTTCTCTCGTTTGAATCGAATTTCGACTTGGCCGGTGCACGCCGAAACCGGAAGTCACCGCGTTAAGATAAACGTTAAACTCATCGTACCAAAAATGAACAAAAAAAAAAAAATGCAGAGGAAACGGAAGCGGCCGTTGTCGCGGCCGTTGATTATAAGAACATATATAGTACAAAGTAAACATACATTATTGTAATAACAGTTTAAATTAAATATAAGAGGAGGGTCGCTGTTTGAACGGGGGTGCAAGGATAGGTGATAGAGGAAACGTTTCGACCGTTGGTTGGCTGACGCGTGACAACAGAATGAACATGAGTTGCGGATAGTGGCTTGGTGCGTTGGATTTTCATGGAAGTTTTACTCGTCCGGCGTGGAGAAGTTTCCGTCTCGTTGTCGCGATGATGACTGTGCGACGACGTTGCGCTCGAGGTTCTCGCGATTCGGTCCACGATCAGGCTAAATGTTCGTTTCGCAGGCAATTCGTTCGAGAAACAAACCGTCGGTTCTCGAAAGGTGCAGAAATCCTATACGCCCACGCAGAACCAAACCAGAATGTTTAGAAAGAAACAAGTTTTACAATTATATTCGCGAGGTCGGAAGTTTAGAAAATGAAAACCAAAGCAATAACGAAGACACGCGGGAAGCTTTTAAAACGCGAAAGGATCGTAAGATCGATAGCGTCTGTAGGGAACCATAGAGAGCAGTCGTCGCATCGTTAGAGAGGAAGAGGTTTCGCGAGTGCGCGCGTGCGGTTCAAAATGGCGGAAGCGAACGCGGGATCGTTGAAGGTGACCGTAACGAGACCGGAAGACGAATCGAGAATCGTGATTTCGAGTCGTGGGGCAAACCGCGAATGAAACGTACGCGATAAGGGATCTCTGTACGATAAGCCTGTAAATAGATTAATTGCGATTATTAATTACGCTCGCGATCGCGGACGATTCTTCTTCTTATTGTGGATCAACGTCGTCGTCGTCGTTACCATCGCCACCTTAGTCGCTATTCTTCTTATTACGATTATTTATATTACCATTCCCGTTGCCATTGATCCGATTTTTATTATCGTAACAGGACGATTGATTGTTGCATAAATACACACCGTGAACATGTTCTTTGTTGAAGAATGAGAGAGCGCCGAATCGAGGGTGAAGGTCGAAGGTGGATTTCGTTAGGACAATTATTCGAGAGGGTTTCGAATCAGACGGGGTAAACGGAACAGCAAAATATCGTGATCGAGTACCGACGATCGAAAAGGAGATCGAGCTATCGTAGAGAAATTGGGAAACCGAGAGACACACACGCTAGGTACACGCGAAACAAAACCCGCTAAACGTAATGGCAAGGACATAGTATATAATTATATATATATATATATATATATACACTATATATATATAAAATATAAATATATAAATATAAATATGAATATAAATATAAATATAAATGAATGATGATATATTATATATATAAATATATAAATATAATTGCCATTTTGAGGCATCCGAGGGTAGTTAGGGGGTTCGGGGGAGGGTGGGACGGGGATATACATTTAATATAGCGAAAAGCCCAGCGATCGCATAGGAGTGTCGTTGTCGATCGATCCCGGTGTCGATCGATCGACAATCGGCGAACATATAATTAGAGAAGGACCGCGAGACGAGGCAGGGCGCGTGAACGCGACAGAGAGTATTCGATGATCTATTTATATTTGGGGCGCGCGGTACCTCGTCCGAAATCGACGATCTACGGCTGTTGAAGCGAACGGAAACGCGAACCGTAATTATCGAGCTCGGATTTGTTCCGCGAAACAGGCGTCGAGTTTTGCCACCCTCCAGCGACGATTCGTACAATGATCGACGAACGTTCACGGGGGTGGTTCCGGAGGGAACCTCGAGAACGAGAACGCGAATGAACATATATAAATATAAATATATAAATATATATATATATATATTAAAGAACACAGAAAATAGTAATAACGATAAGAAGGGAATAAAACATAGAGGCTAAGAGAATCTATTTCGGGTCCGTGTGTGTATACGCGTTTTTTTATATTGCAACGATGCGAAGTCGCGCGCGTGAATTTTAAATCGATAGATACGAAAGAATGGTGTTAACAAAAATAGGGGGGGCGGTGTTAAGTTGGTCTTTGGATTCGGGAAGACAGCGGGAAATGGACGTTGGACGAATGTTGAGTAATATATTATATGGGATATATTATATTATTGTATAGAACGCGCAAAGATCGTGGAGAGGTCGGAGGAGGACTGGTTCCTGCCCTCGACTCGCCTACTCGTTTCCTCGACTGAAGCTCCTTTTTTTCTATCACTCGCTATTGTTTCGTTTCCCGTTATTTGGAGCAAAGACTACCAATGTGTTCCTTGATTAGCAATTTCATTATTCGTTAGTTCTCGCTTGACTATGTTCCGACGTCCTTTGACGCTATTTTGTGTTGCACGGTTCCGTTTGATACAGTTTAGAGTTCGATGTTGTCGATGTTCACCGTTATTTGACGATATTGTAGCGTTCGAGTTGTACGATTAGGGACAAATTGAGTGGAAAGAGAGAGGAACTAGGTAAAAATTTAGTCAGAGTGGTACTGTTATTATGTACTTGAATTTTATATATTATATATCTTGATGCATAGATTATTTAGCGAATAATCGAGATCAATGTTTAGAATCGTGTTAACTATCGAAGGACAAAACTAATCTTATTAAACTATGTCTAGTCTCAAGGCAAAGTTAAATATTAATTTCAATCGTTCGCTAAATAATCTATGTACCATAAAGATATATCTTAAGTTGTAATAATAGTATATTCGGACCAAAAATAGGTATCCATTTCCAGTGTCTGGCCACTCCATTTTGTTCACAACTGTATTTCTATGTTTGTTAGTTAAAAATACACTCGTTCTTCGTAATTTTCTTAAAGTTTTCTTCGAATTCACATTAGTAACGTTCATCGGTTTTCTATCAACTTGTTAAATAGTTTTCCCAACACATATCCAATGGATCCGAAAGCATCGCCGCCGGGAACGCGCAATTCAGTCGTAACTTTGTAATATAAAAGTAAATACGATCGGAAACTGTCACGAAAGACAGAGATTGTAACGATATATCGAAAATATGGACTAATAGGAAAATTGACGACGAATTGCGTGGATCGTCGCGAGGCTTCGGATCCGGGCGAGCCAGTCGAATGCAGCGAGCGAAACGCAGGGCAGAAACCCCTTGAGACTATCGGGAGAAAGTCCGAGGACCCGTGGCCGCGTCTCGCGGCCATTCATTAACTAATTATCTGTTGATCGAGTCGGTGGAAGATCGTGAGACAACATGAATAAACACTGAGAGCGAATATGGGCGTGGAGGGAACGAAGCGAGAACAGGTGAACGGTTCGTACGACAATAAGGTATCGATTAGTTAATCAGAGATGAAATAATGTAAAATACAAGTGCAAAAGCAAGTATACATTATTATATTTATTATAATACGAGGGTTCATCGTGTCGACATCCAGTGACAGAGCAGAAAATCTTCGACGAGCGATCGCGCGGTCTCTCGAACCGGGAAAAATGTAAGGATAGCGTTGCGAGAGACGGATTAGAGAATTTTCGGATGGCGGGAGAGACGACGTCGAGGCTCCTTTTTAGAGTTTTAAAACGCGAACCGCTGCGCCGCGAGGATCGATACACGGCTTAGGCTTAAAACGAGACCGAACAATGGCGAACGAACGGAAATACGAGGAACCAATCGAGACAACCGATCGGTCTCTCGTTTTGGCGCCGGTCGGTTCCTCCTCTCGCGAAGGGAGGAACGATCGCGCGGATCGGTGACCGAGGATCGATAGATCTCCGCGAGGACATACCAAAGGATTGTAGATTAAACGCGAGTAAAAGAAGAAAACATTATTTATTGTTTACACTTACGTATTCATTAGTGAATGACACGTACACGCGTACACGAACCCATACGATCGACAAACACACGCTCACGCACACACACATACATACACACACACGTACAGAGAGAAAGAGAGAGAGAGAATGCGAGAAAGAGGTTGATGAAGGTGAAACTTAGTCGAAGGAGCGGCGTGTCGTTGATTTTGCGGATAAAATGAGAGTGAGAGAGAGAGAGAGAGTATTACACTTGTAAATGATGGAGTCGAATTTTCCGCGCGTGAACGATCGTTCGTTAGGGAGGTCGACGAGGGGCTAGTTTTTTCTTGTAAGCGACCACTTTGTTAGCGTCCGTTCGTCGATCGACCGGCGACGACCGTGGATCCGTAATCCGTGGCGTCGAAACGAAACACGAGGAGGGGTGATTAGGTGGGAAATTCGATTGCAGCATGCGAACGCGGAGCTATGTAATAGGCATGCGAGTTCTGTCGTGATTCGGGACGCGCGCGAAGGAGGGGGCGACTGTAAACTACTGTAAACTACGATGTTACTACGTTTTACCAAGAGCTTATTGTAGTCGAGAACCATTTACGAAAAAAAAAAAGAACACACACACAGACATACAAACAAACCAACCAAAAAAAAACAAAAAAAAAGAAGACAGAACAAGAAGAGTATCTTACGTCGTAAAACCAAAAACAACAAAAAAAAAAAACAATGGTAATTGAGTGTAGCACGAAAAAAAGAAACTTCTTTACACTTTTGCACGAGACGTGTGTTGTACTTAAATTAATTATCAATTGACATATGTAATTAACGTTTTATTACTTAGCAATTAAACTTAATTTATTTATGATTACATCGGAGTACCGCTTGTGTTGTGACACGCCCTTGTCGAGGATTAAAAAGTAACCAGAAAGTTTGTGTGTTTCACGCTCTCCCTTTCAGCGGACGTTTAACCGAGAGACAGACACAACAGAAAGATACGAAATAGGATACGAAACGTAAACAGGAAATATATGTATAGCAAAGACGAAAGGAGAGAATCTTCAGTTCCCACTGTCTTAAAACAGTCTAACAACGCTTAGTAAAAATACTGGAACTTTAGGCGCGCGCTGTTCTGAAACTACTCATGCTTTTTGCATAAATGCGCCATTGTTGGAAGCGGTGAACATTCCCCTTTGAAATGTCTTTTGGTTTTCGTCGATTGGACTTTCCGTTTTGGAGATATCGCAATTTATGTAAATGATGATTTTTCTTAATTCGACTATCGCTGTCTTCGTCTAACGCGTCGCGTCGGACCTCCTTGTCGCACGTTGACCCACTGACCGAGTGACGTAGTGTTTACCGTTTACTACGGTCACGCGAGTTCATTGACCGCGCGACGTAAACAATGAAACGTAAACAAACTTCGGACTCTTATATCTCCGGAACCAGCCACCGCATCGACTTGAAATTAAAATCGCTATATCTCCGAAACTAATAAAGCTATCGACTCGTACAAACGCTCATTTTAAAGGACATTTCATCCCCTATCCAATGACTATATCAGCTATTATAATTTATGCCATCTTCTATGTTTATTTTGACATTTACTTTGAAGCTATATACCTAAAAAAGTTTTAACAATTCCTATTGATCATACCACTGGTGTGCTATAAAACTGGATCATAAATTGTTTATTTAATTGAAAATGAATTTAAATTTGTATACAAGGTGTTTGCATAATTACTATGCCATTTTTTTCGTAAATAATTGTTTTCTCTGGAATTAACGTTGCCTCCTAAAAGAGAAAAAGGAAGACTGGTCATTTGATCGGTCATGGTAGAGGAATGGGTATACATGAAGTGCCGGTAGGTTTAGCGTAAATAAACTCGAGAAAGAGACTGGGTAGCCTTATTTATTGGACGTTCGTTTCTCGTTCCTTTGTTTTCCCAATCGTTTCATTTATCATTTCTTCGATATTTGCGTCACCTTTGCTGCCGGGTTGGGATTGAAGCAACTTTTATATTTTACTTTCGACGATTGAAAATCATTCGAATAGTTACGAATCGAAAGGAGAAAATAAATTATTGCTCTTCGCTGGTGGAGAGCACAGAATAACAAACGATAAGGTATAGAAATATATTTAATTCCTACAAAGATCCGTATAAAATAAATTGCGTTTGGCACATATACATGTACGTGTGCGTATAAATAACTATACAAAACAAGCTCTCCGTTTAGCGTTTATGTACTAAAAGCTTGTATGCCGGTAATGGCTCTGCCGAGTATCAGGGCATGAATATCCTTCGTACCTGCGGAAAACAACGTTGTAAACAATTTAGTAACCATTTCTCATCAGGAAAAATTCCTAATGGATCTTGTGTGCGTACCTTCGTAGGTAACGACGCTCTCCAAGTTCATAGCGTGTCTGATAACGTGGTATTCGTCCGCTACTCCGTTACCACCCAACATGTCCCTGGCGCTTCTCGCGATTTCCAAAGCTTTCGTGGACGAATTCCTCTTTATTATGGAGATCATTTCTGGCGTGGCTCTGGAGGATGAAAAAGTTTCAGAAACGCTAGATAGACATAGCAAATTAAAGTAGACTCTATAACAAATGAATTCTGAAAAATCGATTGATCACTCAGGGTATTGAAAATTGGATGATAATGTTCCCTTACTTGTCCTCATCTTTAAGTCTGCCGACCCTCAGGCAAGCCTGTAGCCCGATCGAGATGTCGCACATCATGTCGGCCATCTTGAGCTGCATCAATTGGTTCGCCGCGAGTGGCCTGTTAAATTGCTTCCTCTCCAAAGTGTACGATCTGGCTATCTTGAAGCAGCTTTCCGCGGCTCCCAAAGCCCCCCAGGCGATGCCGTATCGAGCATTGTTCAAACAAACGAACGGTCCCTGTTTCGAACGTTCCTTTATCAAAGACGGCCGTTTTTGTCGCGGTTTCACCGATTCGTCCCTTGAAAGCACTTACTTTGAGACCTCGAGCATTCGGTAAGAGGTTCTCCGACGGCACTTCCACGTTGTCCATCAAAATCATACCAGTCGTGGAAGCTCTCAAGGAGAACTTGCCTTCGATCTTAGGCGTGGACAAGCGATTCTCGTTGCCGTTTCTTTCGACGATGAACCCCCGGATCTCCCCGTCCTCGCATTTCGCCCAGACGATCAGCACGTCGGCGATCGGCGAATTCGTGATCCTGGATCGACGAACGACAGTTTTATTTCGCGTGTAAAATGCGATTACGTATCGATGGTTCGCGACGATCGACCGACCATGTTTTGCTACCGTTCAGCCTGTAAATCTTTTTCCGTTCGTCATAAGTGGCTTTAGTCTCCATGGATCCGGGATCGCTGCCGGCGTTCGGCTCCGTCAGTCCGAAGCAACCGATCAGCTCGCCGGAAACTGTAAATTATTTCCACCGTCAGATCGATGGATCGTATCTTTTTCGAAACACGTACCGAGTTTGGGCAAGAATCGCTCCTTTTGCGACTCGTCGCCGTGAGCATAAATGGCGCCAGCTACGAGGGAGGATTGCACGGAGAAGGCAGACCTGTACCCGCTGTCCACGGCTTCTACTTCCTTCGCCAGGAGTCCATATGCCACCGAGGACACGCCAGGGGCACCGTAACCCTTCATAGTGCAACCCAGGATGCCCAGCTGCCCCAGTTCCCTCATGATCTCTTTGTGAAATATCTCTTTGCGATTCGCCTCGATCACTCGCGGCAATAGTCTCTCCTGGCAGTACGAACGAAACTGATCTCTGATCAAGATCTCGTCTTGCGTCAGCTGCGATTCGATATCGAACGGATCTTCCCATTTGAAGGTGGCTGGTTCAGCAAACGATTATTAAAACTAAATTTCAGACCGAACTTTCGAATATATTACTTTTTTTATATTGTTAAAACCTTTTTCGAGTATTGAAACGTTTATAGAATATACGATTTCGATACTTGTTCGGTTTCGTAAGCGTTCGTCGAACATACAGTAGTGCCCACTTAAGTGTCCGCGCTCGAGACTTGTCGCGGTCGCTTAAGTGGGCATGGTTGCTTCTCAAAATTCAACGGAGATAAAGAAAGAGCTGACACTCGAAAGCATAGATACAATGTTTCGATAATGATTGGCGTCAAGTGACGCTCGACACGTTTGATGTTCGAAGCCGCTTGATTTTCAAAAATTGCTGGAGATAACCGCGGGCACTACTGTAGTTCACAATATCGCCGCTCTTAAGCGTAAGTGGCGCTCGACCGCCACTAATTCGTAGGTATTTCAGTTTCTCGTCGCGTCGAGTCTCGTAAGATGTTCGTTCTGTACCTCGTCTGTCCTCTCACGAAGAAAAGAAAGGAAAAGAATTCAAGACTTACGTTTTCCTCCGAGAATAGATGAAATCGAAATCTCTGATCGTTCAAAATATCAATTAAGAATAATATTTTGTAACGCAACGAGTGACTCGCACCAAACGTCACGAAGAAACGAAACAACGATTAAGATACTGTATCTCGATTTTCTTTTAACAATTACATTTACGCGATACGATCAAAAGGATACGCCTGGTGGAAATTCGTTGACAGAGCCGACCGTATTGGGAACAAAACTTCTGAGCGACGGCCGCCATATTGATGGAGACTCGACAGAAAACTGACTTGTTGACCTTCCGCGAGAGCGTCTTATCAGTAACTTTTCCCCTACTTCGTACAAAGAATCAAACAAACTCCATTTTTCCTTCTGTTTTTGTCGTTTGTCCCAATGTTTCTAACGTCTGATCGATAACAACGTTGTATACGTCGATGGACGTTTGCGAAACTAAACACATTACGTAATCTACAAAACTGGCGGAACATTCGAATTCCAGAACTCCATTAGTTGTAGAATTCTTAAAAAAAACTGCAGAATTGCTCGTTACCCTGATCGAGTAAACTACATTTTCTTAAGTCTATCAAAAAACACACAAGACCGGAAGAAAATATTTCTGTAAGGCAGATTTTATTTACAAAACATTATAACAATAGATACGTAGATGTATTTTTTTGTATTCTGAACATTGAAAACTATTTGATCCGATTAACGTTATTAGACCAAAGGTTCTCAACCTTTGACCCGCTCTTGTTTATTTTTAAACAAAATATATTTACGCTGTATTTATTTATTAATAAGTCTCAAATAAATGCATGTAGGAATAATTCTTTGTTCGAACAATTTTTCATCCGGATCAGATTTTGTCCAACTGTGTGTCATACCTAATGGTACAAAATGAGTCGGGTATTTTTAGAATCTTTTGGTCGATTGGGAACGCGCTCGAACGATGATTCGCGAACGATAAGAATGGCCGATTTGTCGGCGATAACGCCTCAAATGAGGAGAAGGTCGTCTCTCTGAGCAGGACCGTCCGGTAGTTTCTGATTGTACACTCGAATATTGTGGAACAAGTAGCCGATGGAGTCCGTAAAGGGTCGCACGATGGCCTGCGTCAAAGCGACGAGAAAGTTTCTGGTCGCTGCGCAGGTTATTTTCCAGACGCGGAGGCAAGGCGCTACGCACCATATATGCTGAAATGATCGATTTCTTAATTATCTTTATTGCGGTTGGATAATACTCGCGCGCCGGACAATGTTATTCGAAGCTTTGGCTAGCAATTCGCGACCTGGTGGAGGAGGTTCGCGCGCGTTTACCTATTCTCACGGATAGTTTAATTGCCTGTAGAGACACTGGGACCAGTCAACGAGTATAGAAGGCAAATAATAGGGGAGAATTACTAGTAAACCAACTAAATTTTCAAGTTTTCGATTGCTCACCTGAAACGCGAGGCAAGCGAACGAGAAGCCTAGGCAAACGGCGAACACCGGGGCGACGATAACCGAGAGCAACACGTAGCAGCATCCCCTGGATAACCGGAAACAGTGCCGGCTCAGCCGCCACGCGCACTCGGGGCTGCGTATTCCTTCCGGTTCCCCGATCACGTCGTCCCACATCACCTGTTGTGTCGTTTCAAATTATTCCATTATACCGATCGTAGAAAACACTTTTGACTTCTGTGGTCGTCATTTGTATCATTGCACATCCCTCCCACCGCGATATCCAAAATTATTTATCCCACGCGACTTGCGAAGCAAAGGAATAAGAGTTTCCGAGTACCTGGAGATGTTGGTTGAGGCTATTGGGATCCCTGTCTTCGAGATCCGCGTTGGTCTCGTCCCCGGTGGAGGACTCGGGCTTCTCCATCCCTGGGAAATTAAAAGTCCCGCATTTCGGCAACGAACAGTTAAACGCGCGGCTGAAACGCGCGAACATCGTCGGCGTTTGTGGCTCAAAGACGTCTTGGCTCGGGCCGCCGCCGAGCGACTAGATCCGCGTGCCTGTTCGCCATCATTGCTTAACCATAACGCGCCAACGCTAACGTTTTACTTCCAGCCGATCCATAAGACTTTCCATCGATTGTCGCTTTTAAATAAATGAATGTTTCTCTAGCGGTACCGATGTCAATGCCAGGATCAGCCGCGCGGCCTCGCGCGACAGGTCGTTGGATGAACTTGTCCCGAACGGTTTCTCCGGTGTTTTTCCAGAGAAAAACGTTTCGCGGGCTGCTTCGACGTCATAATCTTTCTATCGATCGCGGCTACGAGTTAACGCGAACGATTCGAAGGGCAAAGCTGCTCTTCTTCTGGTACCCTGATACTTTTACGTTTCACTACTTGTTGCTAAGACCAGCGGAATTCTCTGATTAAGTTATACCTTAGCCACCAGCTGGCGATCGAACATTCCACGTCTCACTGTCCACGAGAGAAACGTTCGAAGCGAAGATCAATCGTTAACTCGAGGCTCGATCGAGATTATCGATCCAAGTATCAATGCAAGAACGTCTTGGACGTTTTACCAGATTTCATGCGTTCCCATCTGTACCCGATGGAAGTCGAGCGCGATAAGTTGTTCGAAACAAGATAAACATGGGATCGATTCTTTTCGCTGTTCGTCGAGCGCCGCGGTCTTTCGATTGTTCTTTTGTCGCGAAACATACTCACCGGACTCCCCGTTCGCGACTCGCGCTCCCCTTTTTTTGCCTATGATTTCGGCGACGGTGTCGGTGAGGGTTCAGCAAGTCGAGGCCTCGACCGCGTCCACGGTTGTTGTTTCGGTTCGGTCGAGCAAATGCGTACAGTCGTAGAATAATAAAATCTCCAACCCGCCGGCTGGACAGCGGTCAAAGCGACTGCGCGACCCGCTTTAACCCTCTCCGCAACCCCCGTTCTTGGACACGATCGCTTCGGTACAACCACCCCGACGAAACGAAAGTGAATGGCCCGCTGTATCGAACTCGGACTATTCAAACCCCCTCCCTATTGCGTTCGATAATAGACGAGAGTTACGTTCTAACGTAAATAAGTCCGGTCCTCGGCGTAAATATCTTTTCAGGATTCTGTTTGGACAGTGTCGACCAATTGCCTTTCATAAATAGTAATGGAAATCATATGGAATATCTGATTTTAAACTGCAATCGAAAATTACTTGTTAACAGAGAATCGAGAAAGAGAGCATGTGTCAGTTTGCCTTTGTTGGCTCTTTGAAATTCTACTAGCTCACGTACGCGTGATCTGGCATAGTGTGAGTAGTGCACCCGGTGCTCAATCTGGCATCATTGCCTCTGATCTCTGTCTCAGTGCCACAAAGACTCTTTTGAGCTTGGACGTTCTAACAGAGCGAGGTATACGAGTAGACAGCTTACATCTTATGGACTGTCGTGGCCCAATCTGACTGCCATACCGACCGGAAAATTCCGAGGTGATTGATAGCGCCCTCTTCTCATGGATGGCGGTCAGTTGACAAACTATTCACTGAATCAGTATTGATGGCCAGACAGCTGTAGTGTGTGCGTAAATATATGTGATCTGACTATGCAGGGATTGAAACTCATTTTTAAATCTGTTGGTAACGTTGCGAGTGACACGAAAATGGTAATGAGGCTCTAGAGCCCCAGAAAAATGCGCCGAAAAAATACATTGGGTGAAAAGTCTACTCGTATACCTCGTCTGTGATATTATCTAACGCAGCGTTTACAAAGTTTTCGATCGCAACGCGTGTTCTTCGAGGCTAATAAGTTGTCGGCCTACTCGACAGACGGCGCAACAATTAACTCTTGCGCGTCGAAGAACGTATGCGTTACCGATCGCGAAAAGCGGGCCGGTCTATTTCAAATTTCAAATCGAAAGAAAACTCAAACGTCCCCAAAGGGAACAATGGTAGGAATCGAGCAATTTTGAACACGCTGGTCGAATATAACAGAAATAAAAAAAGAACTAAACGGGAAGGAGCTTTCTGGAGAGAACATTTTAACCGGATGCAACCGTCTTGCACGAGACAAAGATAGCCTTTGGGCTCTCTTGTTGCGTTTCGTTGGCTCGTAAACGTCATCTTCCTACTATCGAATTCTGCGTAGGCGGAATGAAAATCCTTTGAAGGAACTCACGGAAGATTCATGGACTCGGAACCAAATCAAACCAAAAGCGTATCTCAGCTTTGTGCTCGCTAAAGGTTTCATCGTTACACTTTATTATATTAAATAAAAACGGTGAAATTTAAGGGAAGGATACGAACAGTAACGAGTGTAAGGAATTTCGGGGCGAAAAACGGAAGAATAGGCTACTCGGGTATCTGTGGGATCGGAGGAGGGAATGTGTGTGATCAACCTTGTGTAATCGTAAAGGAACAAGCGTGTAGGTGCAGCCGGCGTATTGCGCCATTGGGACACGGAGAGACCGTCGGACCTTTCGATCAACGACACGTGCAACTCGCTCGACAATAACTGCAGGCCCGGCGCATTGGTGCCATAACCGGGGTGTCATAACCCTCGGCGAAGGTTGCGCAAGTCGAGGCTCGATTGTATCGGCGCCCGTTCCCGGGCTCGTTTAGCTGGGACAAATTCACGGATCGATTCACATCGGCACACGTTCGCGGATCGATACAGTCTACCCAGCGATACTATCCTACCGTCACTCGATGGAACAGTACGAATAAAGGGCTGGTCGAAAAAATCGTTTCTCTCGAGCGAACCACTTTGCACGTTATCTTTTATCGAAACGAAACCCAACTTGGTAAACTCAGACTCCACGTGTTGGAGGTTGCCTTACTGCGACGAGTTCTCTATCAGACCCAAGACGAACCTTTGCAATCTATTAAGGCGCGATTCCACTGAGGCAACATGTAGCATGCGACGAAACACAATTTTCTTAAGGCAACATTTAGGCAATTTTTGAAAAAATGTAACCTGCGAATTTGATTTAATTTAATGTGTAGCAGAAATAGATCTCGACTGAGATCTCAAATGCTTAAATAAAAAAAAAAAACATTTAAGCAACACGTCGCATGCGATTACGAGGCATGCAACATGAAATCGACGTTATGTAGACACTTGACGTGTGTGTTTGCTACACATTCGTTTGTTTCCTTTCCGAAATAAAGAAACGCGGGATTGTTTGATATCGTTTTGTCGAATCGACAAGATTGAACGTGTCGAGCAATGTCGTCCGTTAATGACAAGTAGCATGCTACAGGTAGCATAGTGTTGCCTCGGTGGAATCATACCTTTACACGATCGTGTTTGCATCGCGTTCGTTGGAGCTCTGGCCAAGTAGGGGTCTTATGAAATTTTTACCTATCGTCCCGTTGGGTTGGATGCAACGGAAGGAGCAGGGGGGGGAGGGGGGTAGTCGAAACCGCGAGCAACGCGGCGCTGAAACGGGTACAATGGATTTACCGGGGCAGATTAACGGGACAATAGGGAATATCCGATGCACGGCCTATTGTCGCATCGATCTTCAATCTGTCGCGCGGCGTAGCTGGCGTCAAAACGCTAAACAAAGCAACCGTGTCTGCGGATGACAGGACAAATCCAGACGCGTGAATGGTAAGCTCGTACGTAGCGTTATGATGGACATTCCGGAGCAACGCTGCTCCAAGTACAGTCGCGCTCGATGTCCCTTCTTCGTTCTTAACCCTTTTAGTGGCGAGCGAAAAACGGGCGCCTATACGAAGAATTTGAGAATTTGACGAGTTTGTTATGGTTAGAGAAAAGGGCTCGTAAAAACCAAACTAAGAATGATATTTACAAAATTCAAAATGCAGCATATTACGAAATAAAGAAAGAATAAAGTAATGGCAATTGCATTTCAATATTTATTGCAAATCGTATAACATAATTATAAAATATGATAAAAAACATAGAAACAAGTTTCTCTTCTACAAACAATATTTGCACATAAGAATAATCATTGTTCGATCACAGTTTTATGTAGGTCACGTAGCATAAAGTATAAGTATTTGATTTTCAATGATTTTTTATCAACGTAAATAAAAAATAAAGTTATCAACGTTTAAAGTGAAGCCCGTACTGAATTTTTTTCTAGAAAGCGGGTAGGAATTCAAGGGTATGTCTGTTCACCAAAAATGATTGTGATTGACTCCCACACCCGAAAATAATTTTTCCAGAACGATTTAAAATTTTTTTTTCCCCGTTGAAAAATTTCACACCTTCTCGAATTTTTTTCTAGAAAGCGGGTAAGAATTCAAGGGTATGTCTGTTCACCAAAAATGATTGTGATTGACTCCCACAACCGAAAATAATTTTTCCAGAACGATTTGAAATTTTTTTTCCCCGTTGAAAAATTTCACACTTTCTCGAATTTTTTTCTAGAAAGCGGGTAGGATTTCGAAGGTATGTGTATTCACCAAAAATGATTGTAATTCACCCCCGAAACCGAAAATAATTTTTTCAGAACGATTTGAAATTTTTTTTTTTCGTCGAATTTAGGCACCTTAGATTTTCGGTAAGAAATTTTTTTCTCGAAAACGCGTAGGATCTCGGGGGTATGTGTAATGATAAAAAATGATTGTAATTGACCCCTGTAACTAAATATAATTTTTTTAGTGTGATTTTAAATATTTTAATTTCATCTAAAAAGTTCAGTACCTGCTCGAATTTTTTTCTCGAAAGTGGGTAGGAATTCGGGGGTATGTGTATTTACCAAAAATGATTGTAATTGACCCCTGCAATCGAGGATAATTTTTTCAGAACGATTGGAAATTTTTTAATTTAATTGTTAATAATTTTTTAACGAGGCCTCAGTCATACTCTTCATTTTCGTCTTATTTGGGCCTCTAGAATAGTTGGCCGAACATCCTGTATAATATGACGACTCCAGAATACATACGTTTCCGCCACAAAGTAGTGTCGAGTTGCTGGTTTTCCCTAGCGAAAAAGGCTTCTTGGGCAAAGGGTTAAACCCGAAAATAATTTTTTAAATGCTTTTGCAATAAAATTGGACCCTTCATAATGTTTTACAAATTTTTTTTAGACAGAGCTTTCTCCTAATGCGAAGAATAAGGCACCATCGCATACGCAACGATATATCGTCGTTCGGTACTAAAAGGGTTAATGGACTCGAACAGTTCTTACCCTCTCTCGATCCTCATCGATCAATATTCCTAACCACGGGCGAGACAAACCTTTTTATAATACCGTTGTATTATATTATCGCATTATTTCCAAACGAATAGCATTCACGATGAACTTTGTTTCTCTAGTACATTTGTTCTTTATTTGCTCTTACATAAGACGTAATATCCGTAATATCAACTTCTATATTTATCCGTATCGTAGCCGATAGGGTCTCAATAACGATAATGGAAGATAAAAATCGTCTGCTCTTCTCTCGCCATTGAAACTGTTCGTTGCACGTGTAAAGCAACGATTAAAGGTTACACCATTAATAAGTGTTTAATCTGAATGGCGAGAGAAGCAATAACGGCGAACATCGGAGCGAAAAGATTAGATATTATATCGAATGTAAGAGCAGGCACACGGCCAGTCGAGTAGTCCCGAAAGAACAACCATTTTCTTCTCGCTGAGTGCTGTTTGCAAATGCGATTAATTCTCTGCTTATAAAGAGTTGCATCGCGAGAAACACTGGATGGAGTATTTTTACGAGATAAAAAATCGTTCTCGAAATGCCAGCAAGCGTAAACAGTTACACAGATAAGAGGAGTATGTAGAAGCAGGTGTTTTTTTCAGAGTTTATCGATGTTATTGAGGGGGGATCAATAATCCATGACATTGATCTCCGAACGTTAATTTTAGAAACGAAGGAAAATATCGATTTGTCAGGATTTAAATCCGGACGACGATGAATGGTTATCTTCGAACAAGCACACGACACACAGATTTCTGTAAAATAACAAAATTTATATCCGAATATCTGACAATATTTTACATTTTTGTTTAATTACGTAAACAGAACATGTTCCTTTAAAAGGAGGCGATAATATTCATGGTTTCAAAGAACGACGATGTTACAAGGTTTTGATATTCTTGGATTTGTTGTGCAAGAGAATTCTGTTTAAACTATTTCCGCTTAAGGGTCCTTTCTACCTTGTGGGATTTAAAAAATCGAATTTTTTTTTGCATTGTCTTTTAATATGTAGTCTCGAAAATATATCTACCAAATATTAAATTGAAATTCTGAAAACTAACAAAGTTATAGCCTGCTGAAATGTACCACGTGCAGGGATGTATAACTGGACGTAAAACTTTAAGTTGCCTTTCTACTTTGTGGGATTTTAAAAACCGAGTTTTTTTTGCATTGTCTTTTAATATGTAGTCTCGAAAATATGTCTACCAAATATTAAATTGAAATTCGGAAAACTAACGAAGTTATAGCCTGCTGAAATGTACCGCGCGCAGGTAAAACAACTGGACGTGAAACTTTAAAGCTGTTTTTCTCAAAATTACATTTTTCAACACTGCGTATGTGATAACAGAAAAACTATTCAAGATATCAACATGAAATTTACACAGTATCTTTAGAACTGGTCTCCCTATAGCACGAACTAGGATAATCGCGATATATGCAATACTTCTTCTTTTATTAACAAAAAAGCAACCGAATATATGAAAATATTCAGTACTTCTTCGTAAAATAGCTGCCATTTTGCCATTTTTGTTTTTTTGAAAAAATCCTAGTTCATGCTATAACCACACTCATCTACGTTAAGAATATCGTTGGTTTTTGGATTTCGGATAACTTGTTCGCAAGATATCACATACGCAGTCGAGCGCCGTTCGTAAAAACTGTTGTTTGTTGATCAACAAAAACAGCGTAATCAATAGATATTATGCGTTGCAAAAATTCGTAAATATAGCTAAATATATAATAAATGTATCTACAAAACACGGAATTAATCGCTCTTTAATAGCCCGCAAAAAAAAATCAGAAACATGTATTTTTCGTGCCTACAAGATAGAATGGCCCCTTAAGTCGTTTGATTTAATCGTGACGTTAATTTACGTCGACGAATCCCTGAATCGTTGGGCATACAAACAAATCTCGAGATGGGAGGGTTTTACGACACGGGATTAGGGGTTGTCTCCCTTCGAGCCATGTTTTTCAACGCCATCGCCGACTCGCGTCGCTCCACACTCCTCCACGATTCTTCGACGATTCTTCCACTAAAATAACCGAGTTTATATTTTCATTTGCTTTGTACGAGCCTATGCAATATAATACAGACGCGTAAACGTAGTATAATTCATTTCGTGAGAAGCTTCGTGTTACAATCCTGTTTCAAAACTGTATATTACTGACTGGGCGTATGTATGGTCTCTTCGAAAGTTCGCTCGGTTACAATCGAAATAATTTAATTTGAACTGGTCGTTGTTGTTGCGATTCTCGATTGTAAACAAGACGGACAAACGGTTGGCGGAAGGTGAAGCCGTGGAACACGAATATTACGTGTCCATACGGAAACCTAACGTATTTATCACGGGATACATTCGAGTATCTGAACGCGAAAAGAGAGCATCGTTTGTGGCTCCCTGTGAAACTACATTGTAATCGTATCGTTTCGAGCGGTTGTTCCAACTATAGTCGTGTTGTTCTTAAAAGAAGAGAGTCACAATTGTTGATAATCCGAGAAATAAGCAGAGCAGAACCAGAAAAATGAGGTAAGAAACAGCGAAATGTTATTACGAGAGTTTTAAAAAGTCTTCCAACAAGATGAAACAATTTTCTATCGTTATCTATATTTAACCACATAAGCAATTTAATTTTCTTACATTATATCGGATAACTTTGTCTCGTCCTTCCAACCACGAGACATCGATACCTAAAAACAAATAGTGAACCGTTTACAATGAGAATGACGCACAGGAGGCCCTGATTTGAAATTCAGAAATTCTAACTGTTTAAAAATTAATCGAAAACGTATAACTCCTAGGTTCAAAACGAAGAGGGGGGTTAGAGCTGTTACATAAACTGTTTAATAATCGCTGAAAGCAAATTCCAAAGGTCTTTTCCAAGCATGATTATAAATTAACATAATTGTTAGTTGTACCTGTTGTATAAAGTCTAAAGTTACACAATTTCTAAAGAAACAAAGAGTCGCGTGTTGTTAACGTCCAATTTTAGAGACGAACTTGCGTACGTTGCGTGGCTAGTGTCGTTAATAATAAAGGAAGGGAGAATATGATCGGAAAATGGTGAACAGTTGCAGAAAAGCTCCCGCGAAGAAGTCGACCAGGAAACCGACCTCTTGTCGTAAGGGTGGCTGTTACCAATCGGAGAGCAGCGACAGCTCGTCCTCGTGCACTTCGGACTCATTCTCGGACTCTGATAGCACGGATTGCTCCGACAGCGACTACTGGGATTGTGGAAACGCTTCTCGACGAAGGAAAGCCAACCCCAAGAAGAAAGGACGATGCTCGCGACCGTTGAAGTCGAAGACAACAAAGACGAGCAAACCGTCGTGTGGCCCAAAGACCGCTAAAAAGAAGACGTCTCGTCGTATCAGTGAGTTTTTCTTCATTACGTTATGGTCGAACGATGGAAAGTTTTCTCTGAGAAAGGGACTATTATTTATTGCAAAATTGATGTTTCAGAAGAATACTCGTCGTCGTGCGACTGCTCCACATGCGACTGCGACTCGTCGGATTCGTACAGCAGCGACGACGACCGATGCGGTGGCTGCAAACCCTTGCGCCGCAAGACGAAGTCCTAATTAAATCGACTCACGCTGGTCGTAAATATCCTCACTCGTCTATCCAATTATTCCTAAATTAGGCACTAGTACACTTATTTATTTATTTATTTATTACATTATTTATACGGCAATAACTTAATTTATTATTATTCACCAGCCTTCAGCGGTTGCAACGTTTTTATTCCATATAACTCGTACGTTTAAAGTATTTCATATTTTTATAAGGCGATTCGTAGCGATAGAAGTAGTTTTAAGCAGCGGCTCCAGACCAAACAAGGCTGGTTTTCATTTTAAAAAATTGTAATGCATTACGTTGATAATAAACGCGCCAATTAGTGCGAAACACACGATACTGTAATACTTGCACGACCCTTCAAGTATCCCTGTCAATTTTCAAGAGTAAGAGCTACTGTTTTTCGTTCCGAACCGGTCGTAAAGTACCAAATAATGGAAACGTACGGTGTACAATGTCGGGAAGAAATAACAATTGTTCGGTAAAAAAAAGAAGGTGCAAGAAAAAAGGAGAAATAGGCAGAGGAGAAAGCAGCCAAAGGAAATTAATAGCGTGGAAAAAAACCGAGCTGGCGGAACTAGTCACGTGCGACCATGCAACGTGCCGGTTGCACTTAGGTTCACGGTCTGCCACTACCTTACCTCTGCAATCAGGATTTCTGACGTAACAGATTCTCGCAGGTTCGCCAACTGTACCGCGTTCGCGCGAATTCAGCAACGGGAAGACTCGAATTCGTTTCACACTTTTCGTTCCCGTTTTTTTGGCTTATCGACGAGGACCAAATGTGCCATTTTGGATATACTGTAGATATATTATAAATAAATAGCTGGAATTATTATAGAAATTGAAATCGAATCCCAGCCACGTTGAACGTTCGAGTGATCATGAAAGTTTAAAAAGAGCAAACGATCCATCGATGTCGCGTCGACGTTCTCTAAGGACGCGCGACCTCCCGTCTCCGAGTCAGGGTATATCAGGGACAGGGAATTAATTCTAGATTCGAGCACACGGATGAATAGTTCGCGTCTTGTAATTTACCGTTAACGACAATTTAGCTCGTTGCACGGAGTTACAACACGCTCGAGCAGCTGCGTTGGGCAAGATAACTCTGTTAAAGGTCTCCGTCCAGTCACATTGTTCGGAATCTAGGTGGGAGTAGTTATGGTTAGATAATGGCAATGCTTCTAGCATACAATTAGCGTCTTAGTTACGATACTATATTATATGTATATCGTTTCTTGTCCTGTTTTCTCCGTACGATCGAGCCGCAAATTGTCTGCGTTTCTCCTGGCAAACGGAAAATGATACCTCGTTTGAAACGATCGCTTTTACGCGTAAAAATCATTTTTCTTATTCCAGGGTGGTTTCGATCACCGAAGCGAAGTAAAGTTTTGCCCAGAGAATTGGACGAAATTAGGTAGTTTGTAAAGAACGAGACGTTTAAAAAAAAAAAAAGGAACAAGACGCGTTGAGAGAAGAAAGTAATCGATGGAACGATCCAAAAGTGATCTTCACGTGTCAGTCATCGTGGCCTCCGCAGTGGGCAGGGTCTGTCGTTACGAGGCTGTGCGACTACGTAAGAATAATTCCATTTTCAGAGATATCGTCCGGCATAACGTGACCGGAGTCCACGTGGTGTCGAGCACGTGTACGGGACGCGAGACTTATTACGTAAGCGCGGCGCAGCCCGAACCGAGCCGAGCCGAGCAGATTCGAACCGAACCGCCTTATCGTACGCTCGCCTTTCTAGTATTTTTATTCGTTTCAAATTTATCCCCGCGACCATTGCGTTTCAACGTTCGTTACAGCGGCTATTTTCAACCGCGTTTTCAACTTCCATCGTCGAATGGCGAACATAGGAGAATAAAGGACGATCGAACGAATAATAAATACCCCAACGCGTCACCAGTCACGAACGAATAGCGTTCCAAAAATCATTCGAAAAGAATTTGCTCCTTAGCTGGTCTCCTCGTAGCGTGCACGGGCATTAACGCGAGAGAAAATATTACGCCGTCAAGTTGCACAACGCTTAAACGAGCCGCCGATACGCGCGAAACGGGACCTCGCGTAATGAATCTTCGTTCCTATAAATAGGCATGTATCAAACCGTCCGGATTCCTCGACACACTTCGCTCGAAACTCTCTAGAACAATGCAAACAATTTGCGGCAACAGTATTTCGCTGACGATTCTATTTTCTCGTCCGCTGTCCGCAACATGGACGTTGCGCGCCGTGACCTCTGGCGTCGAAATCACCACCGCGTCTCGCTATACGAACTGCGTTCCTTCTACAAGCTTTGCAAACCATATTAAATTTAAATTTTGATCCATAATCGATGTATTATTGGTCTTGGAGTTGGAAAAATGGCTGCCTCATCGTCTACATAGTCTTTCCATTAAACCTGACAACGAAGGATAATACGAAACATCGTTCTTTCGCATTTTTACATAGAAATAACTCGTCGAGGGAATTTCGAAAAGTTTTGTCGAGAACCGACCGGTAGCAAATGCAATTTCATCGGGCTCGAATGGTACCGTTTAATGTACCACATTTCCCCGGCGTTAAAGAGACGAATCAGTTGACACTGTCGGTCCAGATAACGGTACGTTCGCGTCGTTACATCGCTTACGTCTTACACGAAAGAGGCTGACCACGTTGCTTTCGAAAATCGTTTGCGTAACAGAGGATCGAACGATTCGATTCTACCGCAGCTCGCGTTATCGAGCATCGAAAAACAATTTTGTTAAAAATATTACGAAACTCTGTAGAGAGTTAATATTTGAATATTTGTAAAAATATGTACTCGAAAAAGAATCAGGGAGGTTCCGCCGGATCGAAACTAGCGAGAGGCAATAACGTTGTAAACGTTGCCGCCGTTAAAGCGTTAATGCGGCCAGTGACGCGAATAATATCGATGCTGTAATCATAGTAAGGCAAACTATGTAGCGGTATCTACTTTTCGCGCAGCGTTGCCCAACGCCAATGGATTCCACGTATTTTTATCGAGACCTGTCGCGTTAACGGTTACTCAAAGATACGGTTTCTCTTTTTAAATTACGATACATATTCATACGGTTACTGAAATTAAATTCAATGTAAATTGCAAACAAATAATATTTATGAGTTCCGTAACGTTAAGCACGGAATCTGAAAGTCAAATCGACGGATTCCGTAAATCTATCGTCGAGCATTGCATTGCGACTTGTTTCGGACGAGTAGCTGTTATTCGTGGGAGCACCGTGCGCCCTGAAACTTGGTAATCTTTTCTGTCGCGCGCAACGAAGAGCTAAAAGCGTAAACGATGTTGATCCTTGTCCTGTAAATTGGCCTATTTTCTCGGGGCACATGGCCTCCTTAATTCGCTTCTGCGCGTTTCTGGGGTGTGAACGCGATCGCGAGGGTTGGTCGAGGACCGTTGCAAAAGAAACGGTATAAAGAAAAAGGCTGGTCGGTCCAGAAATAGCGAGTCTCGAAAGAGCATCGGCGAGACAAAAGCGGCGCTGGATTTGCGGTGCACGCGAGTTGGCCTACTTGCCTTCGGGAATGGCCGCAAAGACGCTTTAAAAATTTCACGCAACTCGCACACCGATCGCCTCCGGTCACTGTTCGATCAATTATTTTACCTAGAAAATTGTTTAAACGACAATTCAAACGTGTAAAAGTAAAAACCTAACGCTTTAACGTTTCGTGATCGTAGCGATAGACTCACAACAGTTGGACGTTGGGAGTTTAGCTGCTCACCGGGATCGTTTTTTTCTCGATCGGTGCTCTCGGTTGTGTTTCTCGCGCTCGACCGTTTAATATGTAATAGAAATATACTCGTGCGCGACGCAAGGTAAGTCGGTGCAATCGAGTGGTTATGCTATTACATAAGGTTCTCGGTGGCGCGAGAGGCGTTGGGAAACCGGCGTATCGGATCCGTTGTACCTTGACAACGCTGAAACACTAACCGATTTTGCCGTTTTTCCAACAAATCCAAATCCAATCGCCACGTTTCGGGACAATGATACGTTGTTCGGTGGACGTGAGTGGCTAATTGTGGGTAAATTTTGGAGAAGCGAGTCGATCGTAGCGGCAGAGATCGACGGCGATACGGAGGCGCGAGAGGTCGATCGTTTCCCGTTTCCCCTTGGCCGATTTCGCGGAACGATCGAACCGCGACGCTGCCCTTGCGAAATTCTCGACTCCGAGATTCGCGCCGCCACTCTCTATGCAGTTTCGCGGGCCTTCGCCTCGCCACGCCGCGACGCCCGCCGCTCGTGTTCTCGGTCTGCTCCAGAAACCTACTTTTTCGAGTCACCGTGGCAATGCCAGCCTCCGTTTTTCTCCACTGTCCTCTCGCGTGTCACGGGCCGCGTTCCCTCAACGCCACCGGTCACTCGCCGCTTTCCAACTTTTCAATTGTCTCGCTTTTTCTTTATTTTTCTTTCCTAGTCGACGCGCCGATTACGCTTCTCGCGCCGCTCTTCAAAGTCTTTTATGACCCGACGTCCAAAGCGGATTACCCAAGCCTGATGCAAGATCTGCCACAATCGTACAATCTGGCAACGAGGTTGAGCGTTGTCAGTAATGGTTCGTAATCATGATGAAGGATAGACACGGGATATTCCTTCCTCACGAGACGATCTACGTTCGAAGACTTATGTTTACGTGCTTTCCAAGAATAATTTTAATTACCGAATAAAATTATATTTCCATTTATCCTAATGTTCTTGCAGAGATCAAGAACACCTTGTAAGGTGGTTCTTTTGATACAGTATTAACAACATTTCTTTTATGTTTCTGTCTGAAAAGCTACATACACTGATTTTCACCTCGTATCTTGCATACGATGGTAACCGAACCGTTGTTCGATAAACGAAAAGATCATATTTCCTTACCAATTGAAAATCTAATTTTAGTGTCATTTGTTGTTCGAGATTTAAATAAACGTCCAAGTTGCGCGCGGATTTGTTGCGCAACTCGTTCTCCCGCGCGTTTCCCACGTAAATTACGAGAAAATAGGGACAATTGTTCCAGCGTATCGTTATTTTCCCAACAAACTTCGCACCCGTGCGCGTGGTATCGGGCTGATATTTCAAGCAACTTTATTTATTAACGTCTTTCCTATCGACATTTAACAACGACTTCCTCGGTATAACGTTCGTCATCGAGTAACCTCGATCGCCGCCGGCCTCGATTTTGCGATGAAAACATCGAGCAAATCGTTTGGACGCGTTCCACTCGGTGTTTCTCTCTGGTACGAATCGCCGCGTCGATTCAAAATCCTACCAAGACCACAACAAATACTTTAAACTTGTTTTCCTTTCTGAAACTACCATCGTAAAGTTGCACTATTATACAACCGTAA